AGTAAATTTAATAAAGATGTCTATTATCATGCTTTAGTAGGCTGCTTTGTTTAAGGTAATTTGTGTGCTTGTGGTGACCAATATGATAGTGCAGTGTTCACCAAGTACATGCATGCATTTCTCTGGGTATCTGAAGAGCAGGAAGGAGTAGTAACAAACTGTTTACTATGTTAGTACTCTGTTGTGATCCTTTTGGGGACTGTGTCACTGCTGCTGAGCTGAGAATGAAATCTGAATAGTAAAAAGGTTATTTTTTCAGTGGCAATAACCCTGAACATCAAGGCCCTGAAAGGTGCTGGAGTTGCTCTTCATCCTTGCAGGCACACGAGTCTGCAAGTGCAGCTGTCCTTGGGCCTCGTCCAGCACAGTTCACACAGATCACTCAGAGTGTCTCTGAGGCTGGACACAACAAGTGGCGGGGGAGCAGTTTCGTCTCAATCAGAGACATCAAAGGAGCTCAGAATAGAAAGTTTTTCCTAATTCCTGGAAGGAGATAAACGGGAAGCACAAGGAGTAGTTTGAGAGTCTGTTTTGTAACACTTAACTCAGCCGTAACTTCATTAGTGTTCTTCATTTGGATCCAATTACACGTAAGTATGCTTTGGAGTTAACATGTATAGTTTTGTAATTCCTTAAACTACTAATGTTGTGGGAGCAGAGGTTTCTGAGTTTTAATGTGTTCATGTGCACCCCTCATCTTTAATGTGCTCAGTGTGTGTATGTATGGAGCTCCCACCATTTCCTTCGGGGCTAAAGCCCACGAGAAGGGCCCTCCTTGTGTGCTTGTCCATGCTTTCATGAGAGCCCTCTTTCTGTTTGTGCTAAGCTTGAGCACGTAACTCCTGCTGAAGAAACTACAGGATATTCTGGAACGGGAAGTTGTACAGATGTTAAAAGAAATGCTCTTAGCAGCTTCAGTGAGCCCAAAATAGCTTCTGCATGTTTCTCTTATGATTAAGTTCAGGAAAAGGGGTGATTCCCTCTTCTTCCCTCTCTGTAATATTTTGAGTGCTGAAATCCTGTTGCCATGAAGAGCAGGCAGTGTGGAGCAGGCCTCTCTGTATTCTTCTGGACCCTGACTTAACAGGGCCAGAAGTGAGCCCTAAACAAAAATTGCATTCCTTGGCACAGAGTCCTGCTTCAAAGAAAAATCTCCACTGAGGTCCTTGGGGGTGAGGAGGCTAACCACTGAAGCTGGTTGTCTAGAGGGATTGTGGAGTCTGTTGTTGGAGATGGTCTGCAAACTGGGTAAGGCCTGAGCAATCTGCTTGAAGGCAGGTTATCCCTGCTCTGAGCTAGATGAGATCCAGCAGTTCCTTCCAGCTGGCTGTTTGCCATATTTGTGCATTATGGGGGAAGCATGGCTGCCTTTGTCCCCAAAACCAGTGGGAATAAATGTAGTCTTAAAATATCTGAAAATGGCCTTGGGAATTCTGAATAAAGACTTCAAAAATTGAAGTATGTAGAGAAGCATAGTGTAAGAAGGTAATTTTGCCCAAAGTCTCATAACAGCAGGTCAGTAATAGTGCTGGGAGAGGATCATAAATCTCCTGGCTGGCAGACTAGTGCCTTGGTAGCTAAAAGATTTTGTCTTCACACACAAAACTACTTCCTTTCCCTGCTCAACTATTTTCAGATCATTTGGCAACAGAGACTACACTTAACCTGCTGGGAGATATCTTTCTTTTTTTTTCCCCTTATCAGTCGTGCTCATAGGGAGTTTAGTAGTAAAGAAAAATGTAGTGCATTGACTTTTTCAGAAACCTAGAAAATGTGATCTGGAAAATAATTTGGTGAAATAAAGACAAGAGCTGCAAAGGAAATTTTTGGAAAGTGATGTTATTCCCAGTTAGTTGCACAACAATTAATATCATATTTTTTAAGAGCAGAAAACAGCAGACAAAGCTGTGCACTGAATCCAAGTTTGAATCTCTCTTTGTTTAAAAAAGAAAAATCACTTGAAAACTTCTAAAAACCTGGAAGCTAAGAAGAACACAGATCAGCACTTTAGAGAGTATCATGGAAGGAGTTAAGCTGTGAGTTAACTGCATCTGTGTTTCAAATCCAAATGCTACGAACAAGGCACCATTCAGATCTTCAGTTATAAGTTATGCTGAATTCGTTATGCTGCGTTTTTTCAATTCTGGTCAGAGGAGAGAAAAAAGAAAATCATGTCAGATGAAAAAAATCATTACTCTTGTTTTGGTAGCTTGTTTTTTAAGTGATGAAGTAGGTGTTTTTTTTTTTGTTTTTTTTTTTGTCTAGCACTTACGCAGGTCATCTGCTAAGTATTAGCAGCTGTGGAACTGTGGAGTTGCATAAGCATAACTAAAAGTCAGTGGAGCCTTGCACCATTCTGCAGATCATCCATTGCTTATTCTCCACAACAACAGATCAATTTTGTAGCTCAGTTGACACAAATCCCTAAATGTTAAGAGGGCATCAGCAGGCATGGCAAGTTGGGAAATCCTTTAAGTCATGGAAATCAGATAGGATAATGCATTATTTTATTGTTGCCACAACCTGCTGTCCAGTTAGACATGTGCCTTGGTGTTCTGTGAAGAGAGCTGTGTCAGAGTAATGCCCTGGAACAGCTGAGCCTGCCAGCTATACAAACCTGATTTGTCTGGGCAGCTTTGCTTGGAAGATGGGTCTGGGTGCTATGCTGGCTGCTGTGGGAGCACAAGTGTGAGTGCTCACACATGTATCCCAGATTAGCCGTGCTTGGTGATATGGCTGAATACAACAGTCTCTTTTAAGCCTTAGGAAAGGCATCTTTGCATGTGTGGAGCTGAGGGCCTGGAATGTCCTGGCAGGGGAGATACCTGCAGTGCACATGTGAGTGGGTTGGCAGCAGCAGCAGCCTGAGGCTGGCAGGTCCAGCCTCTGCCCCCAGGTTTTTGATACTGGCTCAGCACACTGCAGGATTTGCTTAGCAGGGTGTGTTTCTTCCCACTGAACCTGAGGTTACAGAGAGCTTACTCTCCTGAGGTTCTGACTTTTAAGGCATAGAATATGTAATGAATTTTCTGATCTAGACTCTGGCTTTGTTTTCAGCTTTGTTTTTTTCATCTTTTCTTTTGCTGATTTAAAGATCTCCACAGGCAAGAAAGACTCTGAAAGGGTGAGTACAGTGTTACTAAAATATGATCCTTACAATACTTGTTCTTGGAAATTAAGGAGATAAAATAAGTTTCAGCAAGTAGTGTCCCTCTAGACCAGTCCATGTACCTGGTGGCTCAGAGCTAAGCCCTGTTCCCTCTTTCAGGACTTGAAGAGGAGTTTGGCTGAGCTCCCATTTTTTCCCCAACCCTTCTATTTTTTTTCTCTTTTTTCCTTTCCCCCTCACCCCCCACCCCTTTTTCCCCTGCCATTTTTAAAGCAGTGATGTGAACAGTTAAGTGAGGATGCTTCCCCAGGTAAGTGGTGTCTGTGCTGTTTCTGCCGGAAACAACAGGCAGTGCTTCATTTGCTCACCCCACCAGCAGGCTCTGGAAGTGGTGGGACCTTTAGCTGCCCTGGCACTGCCTTGGTCCCTGAGGAGGGCTGTAGGTGCTTGGAGGCAGATTGCAGCTCCAGTTGAAGTAGCACTCCAGAGCTGCAAGTGTGGCATGGATCAGGAGCCTTCCTTTTTGAGTAGTGTGAACAGGATGGTAGCTGTTTGTGGCTAGCACCAGCTAGATAGATGTGGAGGACAAAAAATATCTGGTGGTGAGTAGAAGAGAGGATTGCTTATTCCCCCCTCACCTCCTACCTGAGGAAAGAATTCCTCAGCTGGTAATTAAAGGGTACTATTGTTTGATGGTCTTTTGGTTCAATTTGATTTGCAGTTTGGCAAACATGGACAGCATCAGCCATGTAGTACTGAGCTCTACTGTCCTGTCTTTGGTTTACTCCAACTGATCAGTCCTCCCATGACCATCACATCAGTCATTGCTCTCCTCATGTCCTCATTACCCAGCACTGACTGACCTACCTTGCCTAACATATTTCCAAAACTGTTTTCTGGTATAGGAATGCAAAATAGAGAATTTTCACTGCTACTTTCACATTTGAAATTCCTGAAGATAGTTTTCAAAGGAAGTATTAAATGTAAACCAAAAAGGCTGCTCTGTTGTGTGTGTTGTAAGTAAAGAAGCCACTTGCTCACTAAGTGAGCTTGCATGACTCAGTGTAGTGGGCTCTTTATTGCCTTGTCTTTAATTTTAAGACCCCTGAGATAGGGAATGCATTTGAGCAGGGCCCTGTAGAATACATTTTCTATTTGAGTATGATGAAATGAAAAATCAAAGGATAGCAATGTGGTGGTATCCCTGTGTGATTATTTCAGTTTGAGAGAATGCCATTCAAATGAGGCACATGAGCAACACCTACCAGTATATCATTGTTTAGGTCTGCAGGTTACATTTTAAACTATTCCAGACCATTACTGCTTTGAAAAGAAAAAGATATTCCTTAAAAGTTCAGCTTTTCCATTCAATAGTCCTGATGGCATCTTGGAATACAAAACTCTCAAATGGTAGCAGGCAGCCCCAAACCTTTGCTTTAATACTCAGCAGAAACAAACCACAAATAATTATAACTTGGAGCTTCCTACTGTATTTTCAAATAAAAGTTCCTCATTTGATCTTAATAGCTGACTTAGGGAGGGAAAAAATAATTGCTTCATGGCACAGTTTACTTGAAATAGATTATTCTTAATTGAATTGGCTAGTGTCCCTTGGGTATAAATGAACAACTCATGTTCTTATTTCATTTGAAATTAAAACTAAACCAGATAAGGCTTTTCAAAGTGAAACATCTTACTCTGAGGAGTTGCAGCATACTTACACTTACTTTACTTGTACCCTTAGGTGGAACTAGAGCAATATTTATTTTTTCATTTAGTGGTTATCCTTTTCCAAGCAGCTCTCTGCAGGATCAGTGTCTCCAAGTTTTATTATAGCTTTTCCTTTTTTTTCATTTGTGCATCCTTAAAAAAAAGGGTGCATGCTGTCTGGTGTCAAGAGGAAGACAAATTAATTTGAGCTGCTATAGGGAACTAGAAAATGAAGTGTTCCATAACTGACAAACAGCTTGAGATGACTGGACAAGTTCCCTCTTTATTCATCTAAAATGTGCCAGTTGTTTAGCAGAACATCCCTGATAATGCGAGTGAATTGCAGGGTAAAACCCAGTTGGGTGTCATCATGTGCAGTACTTAAATGAGAACACTGAGGGATTTTGTGCTTCCAAGGGAAAGAATTGTCATTGTTGTCTTCTGTTTTGTGTTACTTGAAGTTCCCCAAGAAAGTTTCCTCTTAGGAGGAATAATGGAGTTTATAGTAAGAATGATTTATGACTGCTCTTTTTTATTTGAAAGCTTTTGTACTTCTCAAGAAATGTTTGTTCACCATCCACTCACTAATCAGCCAGACTGGGGAGGCACTGAAGAAACCATAGAAATTATACCACATGATATCTAACACCAGAGCATTTACAGCTTTCAAGGCCTTTGCTCCAGGCTATCCATTGTGAGATACAGGCAGAAGCAAATGAGAATATAATGGGAAAACTTGCAAGAAGGGAAGGTAAAAAAAACCGAAACCACCCAAAAATGTATTTTCACTTTTTTCCCTTTAGACAGAAATAAGGAGATGTACCACTGCTTAATGAGGCAAGGTTTTATGCCCTACGAAGTGAGAACAAAGATACACAAAAAATCCATTCTGAACTAGCAGAGGGGTTGATGAGTGTAACTTAGACCCAGTTCTGTAGGTGCACAATTTGTGGTGATTGGGAGTGGGGCTGTGGCTGAGCCTCATCCTCAGTGGGTGCAGCTGTGCAGGGCGGGTGAGCAGCATTGGAGGTAACGAGCCAGGGAGTGCCCAGGAGCACTGACCAACCACCACAGGGAGCAGAGGGCACTCAGGTGCAGTGTGTGAGCCATGAGGGGCACACAGGTGCAATGCATCAACATGAGGGTATAAAAGGTTGGGCTAAAGAACAAGAAGGGCAGACACGTGCAGCCTTCTGGAGTGGTTACTCTGTATGGGTTGAAGCCTTCTGCCGTTGTATGATGATATTTGTGCATTGTGGCCGTCTCACCTGTGCCATGTGTTGTGGCACGTGCTGCGACACAGTGCTGCCCTTGGTGTGTGGTTGCTGTGGAAGATCAATGCTGAGATGACACCAGTGGAACAGGATTGCTCCAGAAAAGGTCAGGACATCATTTTTCAGGACTTTCATTGGAGCTGTTTTCTGTTGAGTTTCTGGTAGAAGCTTTCTCTGCTTGTCTGGTAGCTACTGCTGGTTAATTTTGGAAATCACCACTCTGAAGGGAGGATGACTGTTCCTTCTGCTCTAAAGCCCACATGCCCTTGGCATCTTTGCTTTAAAGTTTTGTAGGGTCACTGTTATGTGATTGTGGTGGGGAGGAAAAAACTCAGATTATCTGCAGGCTTGTTTGGTGCATTAACCTGGGTTCTGTCAAGTAACGTTGTCAAAAATTGCAGTTTAGGTTCCTGTATTAAGTCTGGCTTGTGCAGGTTGTGGTTTCTTAATTTCTCAATGGAGCATGTGACCCTGGTATCACCATTGTTTCCTCTAACATACATTGAACCAGGATTTCAGACCCTGCCACTAGGGAATAACGCCTGGTATAGGACAAGTGTAAAAGAACTTTTAAATAGTTCTTGAGGGTATAATTATGGAAATAGCCTTTGGGACAGCCAAGGCTCTTCAAAATCCAAATTTCCCAAAGTGATGCGAAGTGTTGGCTTTGGCATTTGAGGCTGAGAGACTAGTCATTGTCCCATTTACCAGCAAAAAGCCCAAAGTTAAATATGCCACAAAGTTCACTTAAATCTGAACTAGAAACATCAAGTAGGTAAATGCAGCCTGTGTCACAGCTTGTGCAGTTGAGCTCCTGCTGGCAGCATGTAGTGACAGGGAACAGGTGAAGAAACACCTTTAGACTCCCACAGTGCTTGGGGATGCTTTGAGGCATTGCTGGGAGAGAGCCAGAAGTAGGAGCTGGCAATTCATCCTCCATCAGGAACTCTGCTGGGACTTGGCCCACAGACCAGCTGGAACCATTGGGCTCTACCAAAGTGCCCGTGACTAATCTTTCCCACCCAAAGGGACCTGTGTTTTCAGGCCAAGAAGGAGGGGTTTTAGGAGGTCTTTGCTGCTTTCTCTGTGTTGTTCTCTTAGGTCACTGTTGTGGTACAGCCTCTCAGGAAAGCCAGCCAGCTTTGATGAATGGTCTAGAAATTGGACTGTAAGGCATTTCTGCTCTTTTAGCAGCACTCTTTCAGACAGCCATGCTTCAAATTACACAGTCTGGGGTTTCTGTTGAGCACAGGTAATGCCCTTGGAGCTATAAGCCATAAACTAAGCTGTGAATTTAATTTTTCAGTTCTCTACTATATACTTGACCTTTTGCTGGTGGGAGAGGAAAGAAGAAACAAAACAAATGTAGAGGGGGATGCAGACAGATGATTGCATGTTCAGTTATAGTTGTGTATTTAACTTCTGCTAATGAGGGAGACCAGGTGCCAGGCTGTTTTGAGCCAGAATATCATACTACTGCCTCTGCTTAGCTCAGCCTTCCCATTTGGGCTATCCTGACTGTCAGTTCCCAAGTGTGTTATGGGAATTTGTGTCAGAGGTCCAGTTCCTTGTATTTGTCTGGCTGTAGGAACAATAGGATATTCCCATGCACTTTTGAGGTAGAGGTTTGTCTTGTAAGTGCAGTCTCCTGGTAACTGACTCAGTTTCAGCAGTTGATGAAACCAGATTTTAATGAATGGCAATATAAAGTGTTTTATTTTTAAACCAGCAGTTTACTCTCTAAGCCAGGTGAGCTGTGACTAAACATTGCTTTCTGTCAGATTAAGCATAGTCTACATGCAGTGAGTTGGTAACCCCAGGTCTGCAAGACAAAATTTCCTGCTCAAAGTGGCATTGCAGGAGTTGCATGCTGAAAGCCATCAGGAAGCAGTCAGATTGTCAGCAAGGACTGAGGCTATTCCCTGCTTGGCTAATGAGTGATCCTTTGGGACCGGGGCCATGGGTGGGCACAGTGGTGTCAGCAGGCTCGCTTAGATGTGTCCCCTGTGGCTGCCCCTCACGTGTAGGTGAGATGTGGCATTTCACAACAGGGCTGAGTTCTTTTCACTGTCTAAGGAAAAGAGTGCTAGTCTCCAAGGCTGTTATCTGGATGCTTTTCATGGACTCTGCAATTCTCTGTCACTTTTTTAACTACTGCTCTCTGAAATCACCGTGGTGGACTTTCTTAATTCATAGTAATTACACTGATAATTAAATAATAATGTGATATGCAGTATATATACATATTCATAAACTGATCCTCCCTTTCTCCTATTTTATTTTTTTTGGCAGAATATAATTGTCAATAAATATCAATGAAACACAAAGACATTCTCTGATCTTGTGCATGACCTGATCTTGCTCACCTTACTTGGGTGTAGTTCAAATCAGTATGGGATTGCTGGTACTTGTAGCTGAGCAAAGAATAAAATCTCATCTGTTACACAGCAGAGGAGCTGATTCTATTTTATAATTACCCAGCAACTATGCATAGACTCCCATCTGTGGCTATATTTGGCATCCAGTTATTCCTGATGTGAAATATACCACCCATGGGAAGAATGCAAGAAATGGACTAAAGTTCCCAAAGACTGGGACTTGCTTTCTCTTAAAAAAAAAAAAAAATAAGAGCGTGTGAGCTTTGGCTAGAAGATTCAGAATGTAAAGGGGAAATAAACTAAGCACTAAGCATCACTAACAGCATGAAATTGTATGGTTTGTGAAAAGATGAAAAATTGCTCTTATCAATGAATATTGTTTGTGTGGCTTTAAAATGTGTGGTGTTCTGGTAGATCATGATTTCCAAGGTGTAGATTTGTCTAGCTTTATTTGCGTGTACATATATGTATCCATATATATATATATGTATACTGATGCTCGTGGGGAGTTTGACTATAAAATATTACTCAGATTCAAATGTGATCTTAAAACCAGTTGAGATTTTCTACTGAAATAACTAAGTATATAAAAATGTGCCATCAAATATTCAGCTGAGTATTTGAAAACTTTGACTTATGTGAATAGCTGAAGACAGGTTGCTGAATAATAAATATATTTTAACTTTGCCATCATAGCAATGCTTATGTACTGAGAAAAGGTACTTGAAGCCTAGGCATGCCATTGGAAAATATAGCAAACACTGCTCCAGAACAACAGCTAGACAGATTTTACTGGATAAAGTATTGAAAATATCCTTTGGAAAGATAGCACGGATTGTTTCTCTCTTGGTTGACCTGCTGAGTGAGTCCATATTCTTTGATAGAGCTTGTGTACCAAGCTTATTGTATAAAAAAGCTACAAACTAAGAAATCAGGTTGTATGTGGAAATAATTATTGGAAGCCACAACCAGCACTCTTATTAAAACTTCCTTTTTGGTTCCTGAGAACTTTCTAAGACTATTAGAAATAATCTGCAATGATATGAAGGGGCTTCCACACAAACAGAGTTCTCATTTTAGAAATATATCTAATTAGATACATATGTACATGTGTAAATAATACATATGGACTGCAGAGCATTTCTTCAGGAGTCTGTTAATGTCTGTGTCAAAGGAGCAGGGAGGACAAGTAACTTTGAGAGCAAGGCTTGTCAGTTCAGCAGTTTTTGCTCAAGAAATACATAGGCATTTCTAGGCAAGAGTAAGTTTCTTAGGAGTGGCTTTTATTTATGTGGCTGTCCTCTGAAAGGATAACCTGTGGCTAAACCCAGGGGTGATAGCTGATAATGTAATCTCATGCACATAGCCGTGTAAAGGGCTTTGAGTTGGGTTTGGGAGGGGTGTCCGCTGTTTTCAGACAGCACTGGAACAGTGTAAAAACTCTTCATTTTCCACACAGACATGTCTAGAGAGTGGCAATCTGCCAGAACATTTTTGATCATCAGATGTTGTTGACGTTCTGGATGAGGGACAAAATAGATTTCCTGTTTTATCTGGTATGATTTTCCCCACCCCCAAGGAATGTGCTAATATTTCATCATTTTGAAGAAATGTAGTGGGCAGCATTAAATATTTACGTCTCTCTGAAGTCACACAGATGCCACCAGGATCCCTAGCTCTACATCACACATGCTCTAATTCACCCCAAACACCCACTGTTTACTAATCTTCAGCCCCCGTCTGTGCCGATAATGAGAAAGAGGAAATGGAAACAGCAGGGATTACATGCTACTGAGAAGTCCCAGTTTCTGGTTGTAATTCTTTCAACAAACTCTTGCAGACTGTGCTCTTGCTTTGAAGTTTGAACACCTCTGCATTAGTGCTTGGCTCTGGTGATTTGGCTGACAGATCTGGGCTTGGTTGGTTTATTTGTGGTTGCACATTCACGGTTCCACACGATGGTTTGCTCTTGCACTCGCCTGTGTTGTCCCTGCTCAAAGCTGGGGCAGTGCAGATTGTTTTGCCCGAGCACTGAGATGTTAATTGCTCAGATTTGCTGGTGACAGGTTCCAGATAGAAAACAGTGCTCACCATATCCACTGTTCTGTCTGTGTGTATAGTCATAGCCATGTTGGTGAATGGGGTGATTTTCTGTACAGTGAATAAATAGGGCCTGTTTTTATAAGGCAGAAAGTATGTGTTGGTGTTGAATGCTGGGTTTCATCATGCTCTGTTAGTCTGTATCCTCACATCCAGTATACTCAGATGTGTGGGTAGTGCAGGTTTCTAATCTAAACCAAAAACTTCAGAGCCCACGATTGCCTTCTTATCTCCATAGCACAGGACAAGCAAGTCATTTGTGTAAATAGCTTTACATCAGTTTCTCTTAACATCTTTCTGTGGCTTATCTGTCAGGCCACTGTGCAACTTGTTATTGCTGCTGGGGTGGTCCTTTATTCGTAAATCAAACACTGTTTGATCTCTTGGCAAGTGAGAGGAAGTCAATTTATGGCTTTAAAAACAACTTGTGCCATCTGCAGGGTTACTAATACGTGTCTCCAGGAAGTACCCAGGTGTTGATAAAGAAGAGCTTCATGCGTGCTTTTCACTCAGAAGCTAAAGAGATAGTTTAGTCTTGTGTATGTGTATATATATATGTAAGGTGAGACGTAGCATTAGTTGCAAGTGGTTGGCCCACACATGACTGCCAAAATTTCCTGCTGGAGCT